TCAAAACTAATGTCACTGATTTCAGGAAAATTTCAGTCAAATGGCACTTGTAGACAGTTAGTGAAAACTATGTATCAGAACTATATTGTCAAAAACATTAAATTTGTTGTTTATCCATTTTTACTTGGGTGTAGGGAGGGATACAAAATTATTGTAATTCAACGGAATGACAAACTAAAATACTATCTATAGCAAACTGTTTCCTCAATACTACTCTTTCATTCAGTCATTGCTTTCTGTGTTTTTAGACAATTACATCATGTTCCTTAGAATTATTTCCATATTGAGTTTACTTCTTCAGCTGTCTGCCTAAAGGGAGGTTCTTGGTGATTATTTGCTAAACCACAGCAAAGTGCTGGTTTTTTCAGACTGCAAGTTGGGCAAGTAGGCATGCCCTGAGTCAATCTCAATAGGGATTGAACCCCATTCGGATTGGTGTTAACCCAATCCAAACGCTTGATGTCTAGCCAACAGAGCTAACTGCCCCCCTACTGAGTTTGCTGCATCACTTTTAATCATCGTATTAATGGATTGTGTGGAAAAGTGCCATCAAGACTATACACAAGTCTTCTTTGCTGCCAAACACCAACTTTTCTTCACCCCCTCAAGGTTCCTTGGTCAATGCAGAAAATCAATCAAAAATTTCTGACCATGCCTCAACCGATTAGTCATGCTGCAGGAGGTCTTGAGTTGTTGTTACCCAAAATGTTGTTATCTTTCCTCTTCCGTGATCCTATCCTTTTCCAAAAATTACTTAAAGGTTTGCAAGAGCCATTTCTCAACACCATCCTAGAATTCTATTCCACAAGTTGATCATTCTCTGACAAAAATAAAATTTTCACATATCCAATCTCACTGCCTGCTTTGTCATTTTAAATATAAGGCCCCTATTTCTACACAGACCATCCACCTATATGTTATTGATGTGCTGAATAGTTTTAAAGATCTGAATTTGATCCTCTCTAAATTCAAAGACTTCCAACCTAAAACACAATTTCTACTTCTATTAGTCAATGCACTTCAGTCAATCCAATCTCACTACCCTACTTTGCATTTTCTCTAGAGTCTCAAAATCCTTGTTCAGGTGAATGGCAGTGAGATCTCACCAAACTGCTATAGGACCTTACAGTCAGCCTTCGGTTAATACAGAATGGTGCAATCTTTAGAGAGCAGTCAATAGTCACTCCCAACTTGCTCCCTTCTAGTCGCCTTTGAACTAAATAGTCACCTTGAAACTCTGTATCTGAATTCTCCGTAAGAAGAATCATCACTTTTTACCCACTAAAACATGGGCAATTTCAGTTGAATATTTTACTTTTTGGAGAAGAGGATAACCAAATGTTTGCACGCATGTGCTGACAGTTTGTTAATGAGGAATTGTGATATTTGATTTTAATGTTAAGCAACTAGTTACAGCAATCTAGGATCCAAACTAAAGAAAACACCTAGATTAATGGGGATAAAACCCTCTGTATATAACAAGATATATCTCTGTCTTGCCCATTTAACCTTAATTTCTGTCTCCATTTCCATATGTGTTTTGATTGCTACTCTGTCTACGAACAAATAATTTTGTCATTTTTATCAGGATCAAATACCTTCTTTTCTTGATTAATTCTTCTCCTTTCTCTTAACCTGCTTCGGTCTGTTCCTGGAGGTCTGCTGTTGTCATGTGTCAATGACTTTCCATGACTGTCTAGGGGGCTTATACTGTGTAAGATCCTAAACTCGTCACAGGTGATTGGTCACTTGCCTTCTTGAGTGTCATGGCAGGGCACTGTGAGTCATACAACTTGCTGGTTTTGACCTTCTGAGTGATTGTCCTACAAGCTCATTTAGACTTTTTTTCCTTATCCACCTATACCCAGTCTTTGTGCACTTGAAGAGGTGATGTCCCCACATCACACCAGCCAAAACTGCTGGACTTCATTCAGTTTTGCTTGTCTGGCAAGTCAAGATCCTGGGGTACAGCTGATCGTAAGCAACCAACTACCTGGAGTCAAGAGATAGTAATTTCTGAAGAAGGGTCCCGACCTGAAACGTCAGCTTTCCTGCTCCTCTGATGCTGCCTGGCTTGCTGTGTTCCTCCAGCTCCACACCTTGTTACCTGGAGTCATAAGTGAGAGCTGGCAAGTTATGGGACACAGATTTTTTCCTATCTTCACCCATGATGGTATGGGGGTCCAGCTTGGCAAAGGCCCAGATGTACAAGCAGAAGATTTGTTTTCAATTCTGTCGTAAGGAATATAAGAATGATTGGAAAATACTTAAGAATCAGAAGTAATTTGTACAAGAACTAAAGAGTTTTAATAAGAATGAAAATGATAATGTGAGATGAAATACTAGTCAAATAAGAAATATGTCAGGGTTGTATTTTATCGCCGTACTTATAATCTCCGTAATGGGAATGACAACGGCGTGGATTCATTTCTCACAATGGTTGAGTTTACCACCTTCTCAATCTCGCCCCTCACCTGAACTGTGGTGACCCTCAGATTAAACCCCCACCTATCATCTCTCTCTGATGAGTAACCAGCCCTCTGGGACTATGACTGCTTTACTGAAGTTATATTTGGAAAACTTTTAACACCTTAAGGTAATAAGTATTCATGGTAGAACCATAAGCAAGCTTTGATATGCAGATGAAACATTGTATTGATGCTGCCCATAAAGAGGAATTACAACAGATCCTAGATGATGTGAACAATGTTGGTAAAGAATTTAGTAAGAAAAATGAAATTACTGGTAGTAGCAAGAAAGCCACAATGCCAAAATTGACAATGTCATTTACCAAGCTAATAAAAGAGGATCATAGGTGACTGAATGATCAAAACGACTCAAAGCCTTTGAAATTGCAGCATTTAGAAGAGTGTTTAGAAAATTGTAGTGAGAGAGAATAGAAAATGTAATACAAAAAACACTGGTTGAAGACCACATCAATGATAAAATGAGCCAAGGAAAATTGAGGGTGGAGTTTAATCAAAAATTGGCTAAATGTAAATTTGGTGAGTTTCATGGAGGGTCTCGCTCTGTAAGTTCTACGAGTTGTTTCACGCTTTCATCCCAAACACATTTCGTTACCTATTCATGAAGCTGCTATGACACCTCACTCATCATACTCTCCCATATGCCAGAGGCGGAAGTACTTATCACTGCATGGGATTTTTGGTGCTGGAACCACCTTTAAACCCCAGCCATGCAAATTGCCAAGCTTTCGCAGTGCAGCTGCCCTGAATATTTCCTGCCAGTTATTTTTGACATGTTGGACAGAGAAATTGGCATCCCAATTTGGCAACTTCATCAATCTTCTTTCTGCTGATCTCAGGTGATTCTCCCAGCATTCATGCCAATGTCCGCATTGTTCAGTGACTGAGAAAATTCAGCCCCAAGAAAGTTTTGGACAGACAGCACAAATGAATTGTCAAACAAGAGCTATCAGGAATTATTGATAACAGCTTTCTGCACGAGCAGCTTGTGGAGCATTGTATCTGTCAGGATGAGAAACAAGCTGAAAGAGAACAGATATTTCTTCTGTTTTGTCCAAATACAGTCAAATACCTTTCCCTTAAATGTAAGACTAATAATTTCCATGGAACAGTTCCCACTTCACTTCCAAAATGATCATTGCTCTGATAAGTCAGATCTGTCAACTTCTAAGTCTTCCCAGTTTCCATAATTGAAAAACAGAAATAAAAAGTTAGGGGACATAGCACAATTAAGGTATCCACTAGGGCCGAAAAGAGTAGGAGAGAACTTAAGATAAGTCAAGAAATATTGGTTAGTTAACATCAAGCTTCGATTCTAGAAAATTGTAGATTATTACAGTGTTTTATGTTTTTAAAAAAGATAGTTGAACTGAAATGAGAAGGAACTGTTTTGTAAACCAGCATTTTGAAAAGCACGCAACTGTATACCTATGGCAAGCATCCTAAAATGCTGTTTGAACCAGCAATAATTACATTTTGAGTTGAAAATGAAGAGGGGCCAAGGGGCTCTCTATTGAGATGCACATGGTTGGCGACAAGATGATGATTGGTCAATGGGTTAATGGTGAGTTTATGGCAGAGACCTTTGGCTTGTCAACTACGATGTCATAGGTTCTGAGGTGGCTGAGCAGCTTGGAGTTGGAAGCAAGTTACAAAGCCAGACAGAGAGAGAGAAAAAGAGAGAGAAACTGCCCAGAAGCTGCCGGACCTCTGCTGTCAAAAACTCCGTTTAACCTGAAGAAAACCAGTTACTGTTGCTGCAGAAGTTGCTGTGAGGTTTTATCAATTTTCAGTAGATAAATAAGTGAATCAGCTATTCTGTACTTCTTACAAACCAGTAAAAGCATCCAGATGAAGATATCTTAATAACAAGGGGTCTGGCCAGCTGAAGAAGAATCACCTCGACATCAGAACGAAGAAGCAAAGACCACTGAACTGACCTTTCTAGTTTTTCCACCTCTGTCAGTAATCTATTTTCTGCATGCGCGTGTGTATGTGTTTATAAGGGCATTAGTATTGTTATATGCCAGTGGTTTATTTATTTTCCTGTAGCTATAGTCTAATTAAATGTAATAAATAATAATTCTTGGTAAGTAGAGAAACCTGATCAATGCTTTCAATCAGCCTCGGTCTGAAAGTAAAGTAAATCAGGATACTGTGTGTATTTAAAAAAAAACTTTAATATTTTTGTACAACTCCAGGAATAATGTGGGTCATAACAATAGGAGGAGCAACTGAAGGACGTGTTCTATAGTTTTCAGACCCAAGGCAAAGAATGTTTTATTGGAACAAATTTTTCTCATGCTGCAAGAAATGTATTTCCTGATAATGAAGTGACAGAAAAGAAGTTGCAGAGAAACATAACTGTTCACATTTTGGCCTGTTAGAGGTTCAGAAGACAAAGAGCTTAATGAAGCAAGGCATAAATAAGATATAAAAGGCATCCAATGAGTCAATAATATATTTATCATGATATGATACATTTACTCATTCTGTTTCGCTTGCCTGTTGCAGTTGTACAGAGAATGGACACTGTGACCGAAGGAATGGAAACATCACGAAAGAGTTATACGGAGAAACTAACTGCAGTTGAGACAGATCTGAAGAAATTAGGTAAAACTTACAACACTTTTTGTGCCAGGAAAAGTAGTATTAGATATTTATTATCAACTGTGGCTAAAGGTATTCCAGTATCAAATTTAACTGAAGTCTCAAAATTACAATAAATGGCGTACTTAACGCAAAAAGAAATAGTGTGTATAATATGACTTGCCTTAACAGATTTTTTTTGAGAGGTGACATTGTATTTAAGATAAATGTATTTATGTCTCTGTTGACCTTATAATTGAACAAATTTCATACAAAGATTCAAAAAATTCTTATGTTGATATCACAAAAAGTAATTTCCTATATTAACAATCTAGGCCGAACTTCATGTGTTTTTTGCTAACAGTGCATTAGCATTGTCTTTTTGGAAGGTTTTTCACTTAAGTCCAAGCAAGATTTCTTACCATACTTACCAAACTCACCTAATTAACTACTCACCCCACCATATGGTGTCCCTCTGTTTCTATCCCCATTCCTGGAACAACTTGCTAATCACCGGCTGTCTGCCAAAGGCAAGCATCTCTTGTGCCTATGCTATTTCTAAAAGGCCAATGCGCTCCAAGATAAGTGCTTTCAATCTGACATTGCCCTCTCTGGGAATGTAATAGTACAAGAGCCACAAAATCACACTGTCTACGGCACATGGCTGACACGCCCTCACACATACAACCCCATTCTTCTACCCTAGTCGCTGTTTAACCTCCAGGCCACGCACTTTCCGTAGATATATCCCACCTAAACATCCTTTCAAAGTCATCTCTACCCTGGCCCTAGTGCCAACCTGCTAACAGATATAACATGACAAGGAAAAGCAGAGATGCTGCAAATGTGTAGGTGGGTGCTATGTGTCTGAGTGTAAGAGAGCAAGCGAGCAGCCCAGAGATGCAGCCTGATCCAATCTATGAGCTGGGTGCCTGTCCCTGTGCGCAAAGTGTCCTTGCAAAAGCCTTTCGTTGCAGATTACCAGTGCACTCTCTGATGTAGATCTGCACTTCCTAAATGGCCTGCAAGTTGATTGAAGAGGTGCTATGATAATTGTGAAGGATTGCCAAATGGTGGCTGCCAACTTCCGTGGACAGGAGGTGCATGCGGCTGTTGCCCCTGAGATGCTGTTTGGTGCTGAGCAACATGGAGACTCTCTGCAGTTAATAGTGAGCTGAGGTCACCAGGTACCCACTCTGCATAATAGCTGCAGTAAATTTCTCCCAACCTCAGGATAGGCCTCACCATACTTCCCATCTGATTCTGCCACAAATCCCACCATAGTCCACATCGTTCAGGCCCCTATTAGATTCCACCTTCTGTTTTATAACTAAATAATGGTTATCCAGAGTTGTTTTTGTTTTCACAACCCACCCAGTTATCAGTTTATGAGCCGCAGCCACAGAATCGTTCAGTTTTCTCTCTGGGGATTGATCAAAAGTGAAATATTGTTGTGGAACTGTGGCTATCAAAAAGGTCCATAGTACCAGTGAATGCCCTGTTATAAAAATAAGAGTATTGTTGAGAAAAGAGATACATTGCCAAAACCTTTTTCTTGCACTCATCAGGACAGAGTTGCAAAACGACGAAATTGCAACAGGAGCAACAATTAATACTGTGCGAGAGCAGATTAGCATGTCGACTCTTTTGAATAAGACATGATGGGGGAGAGTGTACCAGAAACCATTGTCCCCTATGCTTTTGCTTAATTCAGAAAAATGGTGCAATGTCTAGACTGTTCCTTTTTTCTGGAGTGAACAGGTTCCTGTCTGTGGATAGTTTTGACCAAACATAAACAGACCACATTGAAAGCATGAGTGAGATTTTTTTTAAAGTGAAGAGAAGCTATGGCCCATAGCCACATTGTTAATCATTGAAAGAAACTGCACTTTACAATCTGCCTTAAATCTCCTACGTATACCTTCATATCAGCAGAAGTATAACTACAAGTAAGTTTGAAAAATGACCAGGACATGATTTTATTCTCCTCCTGGCCTACTGTTCCTGGTACCTGATCAGAACATGTGCCCCATGTAGTTGCTGGGTTTAAGGAGGACCTGTGAGCTGCTCAAAGCAAAACAATGAGGATCTGAAAACTTGCAAAATCAGATTCCTATGACACTAATACAACTTTAAAGTGTTTGTAATGATGCTGTTTGAGCGCCACAGCTTTTAGAGAAACCTGGTGGCAGAAAAGGCCCTAGAGATCATAATGCTTTGATTTTTGAATATTTCCCTGAAAACAGGAGTATTCCCTCTCAGGCCTACAAGGGAATTGTGGGATTCACCTGCCCTGAGATTCCCCGTCAGGATTGTTTTTGGCTGTCACATTACTGATAGCCAGATACCTCCCTGGGTCTGGATTCCTGCCACCCAATTTCCTCCAGTAGTGACTGCAACCAATTGCATATAGAGGCTTTATTCAAAAATTCAATCAGCCCTCTTGCTCTGGAGAATTTCTTTTAGATAGGCAAAGTTAAATTCAGATCAATATCACGGTCCCTCCTGGCTCTTCTCAGTGCGAACCAAATCCTGGTCTTGGCTTTGGTTCCATTCTGGCCACCTGCATTATTAAAGATATAGTATCATGGTGACATTTACATCATCAACAGATATCTTTTCAAAATACACCAGGGGTGGGGGACTCTTCCATATCTGCATTTGGGGATTTTGAGATGAAGGTGTAACACACGGGCTGTCAATGTAATCTGCCCATTTTAAACAACACATACACATTATTTTCATTGGGCAGTGTGGGTGGTGATTAAAGTCAGTTTCTGTGCCTTTTTTTTACTTTTACATTTTCTGCCTGAGTTTAGTGCTCGATATTGATGAAGACGGCACTCACATGTCAGAGAAACAACTTATGTTTCAAGTAGATTATGATTTCTTCAGGAAGAATGGCTTTGTTGGACTCAACACACCAACTCTGCTTCTCTCTCCACTGACACTACAAGACCTGCTGAGCTTCTACAGCCTTTTCTGATTTTTTTTTTGAGATCTGCAGTATCCGTAGTATTTCATTTTGAGACCCATAGGTCAGGATTGAGCTGAGGAGACTGGACAGCAAGCCCAATAAAGAGAGCATGCTGCAAGCTCTGTCCCATTCACTGTTGGAAGCAGGAAAGAAAACAAGCAAGGCTAAGTTTTGGGCCAAATTTTTATGACAAAATAAATCAGAGGCCAGTTTGGGCAGGTTAAGGCTGAGGTATCGGCAGCAATCGGGAGAGCAGATGAACATTGCAACGGAAAGCAATAGAAAAGAAAGTAGAGGAAAACAGGGGAGGCGATGACCTAGTGGTATTATAATTGAACTATTAATCCAGAGACCCAGGTAATGTTCTGGGATCCAGATTCAAATCCAGCCATGGCAAGATGGTGGAATTTGAATTCAATAAAAACAAATCTGGAATTAAGTGTCTAACGACCATGAATTCATTGTCGATTGTTGTGAAAACCCATCTGGTTCACTAATGCCCTTTAGGGAAGGAAACTGCCACCCTTACCTGGGCTGGCCTGTATTTGACTCCAGACTGCCCTCTGGGCAATAAATGCTGCCTAGCCGGTGATGCCCTCATCCCGTGAATGAATAAATAAAAGTCAAGTAAGCCTAACTTAGGACAGACAGCTGAAGGTGATTAGTAGCAGCAGGGCCTGTGAGCAATACAGCTCACCCCTTGCATAGCTTCTGCACGTTACCAACAATCTGTTGGGTAAAAATGTTGCAAGCTAGTCAAGATAGAGTATCTTGGGTCTACATTGGGATTATATTCAAGGATGGACAGCAAGGCTAGTGAAGAAAGAGGGAGTTTGCTCATGAAGCAGGTAGACAAGAGGCAAGAAAGAGCAATGAGGTTTTCCGGGAAGGTAGCAGTTTTAAAGGGATTGCAGAGCAGGTACTCAGGAGCAGTATGACCAAAACCCATTCATTGGAAAAGGGGCAAGAATGGTAATTAAAGCTAACCTGATTCAAGGTGTGGGAGGGGGACCCTAGCAGCAGATGAGCCGGGGCCGATGGGATTGAGAGTGACAGAGTTGCAGGGGGGTGGTTTTCTCCACCCCTCTACAATACATTGATTCACACTAGATCATGGTGCAGATACAATGGGCCAATTGGCCTCCTCTGCACTGTAATAATGCTGTGATTGACCAGCTCTGCTTTTTTATGAAACATTTATGCACTAGTTGATAGCACTATAAGATCTTTCAAGACAAATTGTGGCTTACAGTCTGTGTTAGATGTAGCGATGTCGTTCAGCAGGGCTGGAGGACTCAAAAGTTTTGAGTTGGTTATGGGAACACTAATGAAGAATGATGCTGGTCAATGGTTCTTGGTCTGGGCAGTGGTCAGGAAGAGAAATGGGGATGGAATGTAGGCAAACTACAGTAATCGTGCAGGTTGGCATCAGAATCTGAGTCAAAGTTGGGGCTGACGGTGCAAAGGAGCAGGGCATAGGTAGCAGTTTTGTGACAAGCTGGCAAAGAAAAACATAGTTCATACCCAAATACACGAAGAAAGATATCTGTCGCTGGTATCTAGGATTGGATAACAGGAAAGGTACAGATTAGCACCAGTATTGCAGTTTAGTTTAGGGCAGGAATGGGGTCTGTGACCAGCAGGAGAAGGAGTCTGTGTGAATGTGGCAGTGAGTAGCAGGAAGGAGGATAAAATAGTGGTGGGATGAAAGCAGATTTTCAAAGTATCAGAGGGTTTTTGGAATTATTGGGTTTTTGAAGTGCTTAGAATGATCCAGCTAAGGAGACTGATTACGTGCAAAATGCTGCCACCTGCTGTTGAGAAACAAATTAGCAACAACCCATCCATGTCTGAATTTATGTTCCACTTGAAATTCCTCCATCCAATATTCCTCATGTAATTCTATCAGTATAGTCCTATATTCCCTTCTCCCACATCTAGTTTCATATTAAGTGTACCTATACCATTTCCCTGAATCCAGACATTGTTCTGTGACACAGTAAATGTAACAATAATGAAGTGCACAATATTTTGATATACTAATATTCATATCATGGCTGTAAAATGGGCTCATAGCTATAGTAATTTTAGTGCCACAGGTTCCATGTTGACACCAAAATGATATATGCTTTGAATCTTATCTTTGTGAGAGTATCAGTATTGGTGCAAGGAGTGAAAACCAGAGTTAGGAAAATGATTGTGAGGGCAATCAACATGTCACACTGATTTGACAAAAGTCCTGCCATTGTCAACCTTTCCTCTCTAAATAATGTCTTCCAGTAACCATGCCAACTGTGCTTGTGTTTAACAGCAGCTAAGAGACCCACCCCCTCTCACTACCACAATTTAAAAGGATTGTTAACATTCAAATTAATTGCTGATTAATTTCTGCTGGCTGTGTTGAGTTTGGAAAAATACTCATTGGTTTGAGGAGTTAGGAAAAGTATTTGGTGAGTTAGTCGACGTTACTGAATTTAGGAGGGAGTCCTGTGTGTGGAAAAGGCCTTATTTGTGACTGTAAGAATTTGCTCAGATGTTACGTTCCAGTAATGAGTGGCATCATTGCCATTTGCTTTAGGGTATGTTATGAAAGAGAAATAGAGATAGATCTGTTATCTGTTCTTTCTACTGAAGTGCATACCCTCACTTTTTCCCATATAATACTTCATCTGTCACCTACTTGTCCACTCACTTAACCAACCTATGTCAATTTGCATACTTTTATGCCGTCCTCACATCCCACTTTCCCACAGCCAATCTGGAATAAGGTGTATCTGCTTTATACAACTGTAGTAGAAAACTTCTGCAACAAATGACAATATTCTATTTGTCAGCCTCACTGGATCATATAAGTTTCTGATTGACTTAACAGGATGGATAGGGAGAGGATGTTTCCCCTCACAAGGGAGTCCAGAAGTAGGAGGCACAGTTTAAAAATAAAGGTATCTGCCGCTGAAGACAAAGATGAGAAAATTTATTCCTTAAGAGATCGTTAATATTTGAATTTCTCTTCTCCAGGGACCAGAGGGGACTGGTCTATTGAATATTTTGGAGGATGAGTTAGACAGATACTTAGTTTAAAAGGGAGCCGAGACTTATTGGGGCAGATGGAAAAGTGGAGCTGAGGCCACAATCAGATTAGCCATAATCTTACTGAATGGCCAACTCTTGCTCCTATTTCTTATGATCTTACAGTCTTCGGCAAGTGTTACTTCACAATATTTCCCTCTTTTAAAACATGTTCACCATGCTGAGCCCTAAGGAATGGAACCCTGTCATCAGCATTGCTCCTGAGTCAAGTGCAGAACAATTGAGGCAAAGTACAACTCCCTTCATTCTTCCTCAATAACATGCCACAGCCAAAGTAGAACATCCTCACAGAATCAGTGTGACAGTTTTCCATTTCCTGCATTAATCATGCTTTAGTCTATCTGAAGAATGCTGTCCATTCTTGCCAAATGAAGGACATGTTTTATAAGTCTTCACTACTGACCATTGGATTAAGATTTCCTAAACTCAGTTCATATAAGATCTATTTCACTTACAGACAATAAAGACTTCATTTTCCCTTCTGACAAGAGGTCATTGACCTGAAATATTATTTTTGTTTCTCACTCCAGAAATACTTCCAGGTATCTCCACTACTTTCAGTTTTTACTTCATTCTGTCTTATCTTATTTTTAGCAGTCCATTCACACCTACATTCTTAAAAAATAATGGGGCTTTTGATTGGTCTGTAAAAATTGAAATTATCCAGTTTCAAACCAGGTAGTGAATGTGTTGGGCTCCATCTGGAAGTAATTACCACTCATGTTTATTATACAAATTTAAACATGAAACATAAGGAAAATTGTTTTAACCCCATCCGCTGCACTGCATTCCTTTAATTCCATTGTGATTACCCGTTCTGTCATGACCCACAAATGTACCCTATCTTCTAGATGACCAGACTGGTGTGAAAGATGAAAGTACCACGATAGAACTGTCTAAATTCAAAACAGATATCCAGTTTCTTCAGAACCAACTTGGTGACATTGCAGATAAAGCCTCTAAAAACAAACTTTCACTGGATAAGCTACAAGAGACTGAGCAATCAATGACAGCCAACCACAACACTCTGAAAACTTTGCTGGATAGCAACTCAAGATCTATCAGAGACATAAACCAGACTTTATTCACATACAGTAGTTACATTACTAACCTGGAAGACATCTCTGGTAACCTGCAAAATGACATACTAAAGCAAACCAAATCTCAGAGCAATGCGGTTATAAATCTCAGTCAGTTAAATCAAACACAGATCCAGCAAAGAGATTTATTCAATGCACTGCAAAAATCTGTTGATGATACCAGTCAGTCCATCCAGAAAATAAGGAATGATTGGCAGGCTCTCCAACATACTATGCTTCAAGCACAAAAGGACACAGACTGGCTGAAAGAGAAACTGCAATACCTACAACTGCAAGCAGTGAACAACTCCATCATGGTGACTGGTAATAGCGATACTTTGGAAGATATGAGTAATCAGCTAAACACTCTGAGTACCCAGATGGCAAATATTAGTTTCATGGCTAACGTTCACGAAGAGAGTCTCAGGGATCTACAGCAGTATCAAAAAGCTCATGAAAACAAAACATCTGCCAGTTTTGAACAACTTGAAGTGCGCATGGATGTAAATGAGAGAGACATCAGTAGTATTATAGGGAACATCAGTTGGACTGTGCAACATCTTCGCTCATTGACAAGCAATCTGAATGATATAAAAACCACTTGCACCAATACATTAAGTCAACATGCAGACCAACTAGCCATCCTGACCACCGATATGGATGGTGTCCGAACAGACAGTTCTCTCCTCAAAGCACAGCAAGGCGTATTGAAGGCCAGATTGGATATTGAGGTTGGCAACTTGTCTATGATCATGGAAGAAATGAAACTTGTCGACACAAAGCATGCTCAGCTGATTAAAAACTTCACAATTCTTAAAGGTATATATTTCTATTCATTGCCCAAAACTATAATGAAATAAATTTGTTTTAAATTTTGACTCGATCTAGTTAAGGCTTTTAATTTTAAATGTAAAAGAACCTAAATTTGAATGTTTGACCATTATCTGACATTTTACAGGAAACCACTTCAGAGATGTTATGACACACCTCTGGAGTAGTTTGGAATCTGAACCCTATTTCTCCTGTCTCAAAGGCAGGGACACTACCATTGCACCACAAGAGCCCACATTTTAGGTTTATTTGTTAGAATGCTTTCTTTATGGTACTTTCTAAGATTATACAGTGCAATAACATAAACTGTTGTTTAAACCAGTGAAATATAATTTTTCTCTGACAGGATAATTGAAAAGATTAGCAGAAAAAATCATTAATTCTAGGTAAATTGAGAAGGAACCAGATCAGTACTTCCCAAGAAAGTTAGTGGAAGCTTACAGACTGTACAGACTTTATCCATACTGGCATTCAATAGAGTACGTAGAGTTCTTTAGTGGGAGAGACTAAGATTGAAATATTGTGTGCAGGTCTTGATGGATCACAGCTTTCTTAATAATTTTACCTTTTTCTGACAAATAAATTACTCCAAATTCTGTGTGTGATTGGTGCAGATTTTAACCAATGGACCTGAATGCGAGTACTGACGCTCCCAATGTTAAATTTTGGACCTTGTTTCAATAAAGTGGGAACCAGTGGCAGCACTGGGAATCTAGGTGACCTGACGAAGGGCCTACGCACCGAAAGTTTGTGATTTCAAATAAACTTGTTGCACTGTAACCTGGTGTCGTGTGACTTTTGCCCTAGCTGAATCCCCCACTATCCACATACTGGGGACAGACTGTTGACCAGAAATTAAACTAAATGATCCGTATAAATACTGTGGCAATAACAGCAGGTTAGAGTTTGGGAATTTCATGGCAAGAACTCACTTCCTGACTTCCCAAAGCCTTCCACCAGCACAGGTGTGTTGGAATACGCTATACTTGTGTATATAGTTGCAGCTGCTACAGAACTCAAAGTTGTACACCCATCAGGACAAAACTACCTGCCTAATGTACCACCATAAACATCTACAACTCTACCACCGATGTGCCGTGGCAGTAGCGTGTACCATCTGCAATATGCAATGCATTAATTTACCAAGGTTCCTTTGACAGCACCTTCCAAATCCACCACCTGTACCATCTAGAAGGACAAGGGCAGCAGATTCATGGGTACACCACAACCCTCCAAGCCACTTACCATCATGACTTGAATCGTCCTCCATTGTCAAAATTGTTGAACTCCCTTCCAAACAGTACAGTGGGCGTACCCTAACCCCATGATCTGCTTTGGTTCATGAAGTTAGCTCACTCTCACATTCTGAAAGACAATTAGGATGAACAACGGATAATGGCCTAGACAGGAAAATCCACTTCCTGGGAAAGAATTTCTAAACTGCACTGCAGGATACAGTCTGATGAGGATTATTTTCATAGCACTAATGAAACCTGCAATCAGTCAGTACAGAGGCTGCCAGTTTATTTTGAGTTAACAATCTAGTTGCATTGTGTTAACTGAGACAACCACATAGACAAAGGCATCAGATCTGCATAACCAGTTGCAAGAACTGAAATATCACAGAAATGATAGAAATATGTTCAGTAAATTAATTTCCATCTCCACAACTTGAAAGTTTTAACTTCTTTGTTTTAATAAACATTTAGGTCCTCCTGGCCCAAGAGGTCCGAAAGGTGACAAAGGAATACAAGGACCAAGTGGCACAAAGGGAACCAGAGGACCAAAAGGGGATCGTGGAGAAGTTGGACAACCTGGACCAATGGGTCCAAAAGGTTCTCGAGGCCCTCCTGGATCGAGAGGAGAAAAGGGCAGTCAAGGATATAGAGGCCCTCCTGGCATAAAAGGACAAAAAGGTTCAAATGGAAGACCTGGTACACCAGGAGCTAAAGGAAGCATGGGACTGCCGGGTCTTGATGGACCTGTTGGCAAATTAGGCCCTTCAGGACTACCGGGGCTTCAGGGTCAACCAGGAGCACCAGGAGATACAGGCCCTCCAGGACCAAAAGGCCCCCCAGGACCAAAAGGTCCTCCTGGTCCGCCAGGCCCTCCAGGTCCCATAGGACTAATAAACCAAGCTCCGACTTTTCCTCCAAAACCAAATGGTAAAAATCTTTAATTACATGCTTGAACAGGAAGCTCTCTGATTTAGATTTTATCTTTCATTGCTTGAAAAGTACTTGGTAATAGTGGATCAGCCATTTGTGAAATGACCTTCACATTTCCTTTCTCAGTTGCCTGCAGTTGAAATGGGTGTACAAACATGTGGCTGATCTGTACCACCAGTGAGATTGACCATTCTATCTTTCAAATTACCTAGCTCCACATTATAAGTTGCAATACATGTAATTAAAATGTGATTATTGTGTTTATTTTCAGATTTTGTATTAAGTTTTTTTTTCTGTATAAAGTCAGTAGCAAGTTACAGTTCCACATGACATTAATTATATTAAAGTAGGTACAGATTCATCAGCATGTCTTGATCTTTGAAAGAGCTGTCCACAGCAACATGAGGTTATCCAGAACTCTCTTGCCCATGATCTTACTTGGAACAAGTCCCATTCACCCATCATTCCTGGGATCACTGATCTATGTTATCTCTCCCACTCAAGCTACACTTTGATTTTAAAATTCATATCCTGGTTTCCAAATTCCAACACAGTCTATCCCCAGTCTAAATCTGCAATCTCCTCTAGCCCCACAACGCTACAAGAAATTGCATTGATCTAACTCTGACCTTTTGAACATTCCCAGTTTTAACCCCACCACTGGGGATGTGCCTTAGCTGCCTGGCCTGTAAGCTCTGGAATATCCTTTTTATAACGCTTCACCGCTGTATCTTGTTTTCCTCTTTTAAGAAGCTCACTAAAATCTACCTCTTTGACCAAGCTTTTGGTCATTTGCCATAGTAGAGTCTTATGCAGCTTGGTATCAAATATCAATGTTTGTTTTAGAATAATCATGAAAGGTATGTTTGGGATATTTTGTGACATTGAAGGCATGAAATTAAAGCAAGTTGTTGTTCTTGTATGAACATTATAGTAGGTCATTCAATCCCTTAAGCCTTTTGGAACCTTCAAGTAGATCATCATTGTTCTATACCTTAGCTGCATCTGCTCCATGTGTTTTTGTAACTCACAATACCTTGTTCTAACAAAAACTGAATGAGTTCCATTCCTTGCCCACATGGTTTTGTCATTTAGCTTTTAGTTTTACTGTTGATCTGGAAAAAGAATTCGACTCAGCACTAATAAATTACACCAACAAACTGAAATTGTTCATTCAGATTGCAAAGATTACAGAAATTCTGATCACTCACCTTCAGTCAAGCATTTGTGCAGTCAGCTTGGTTTCAAGCACATACAGAAACACATCAGGTTATTTGAGTTCCCCCAGACCAAGCTCCTGAGGAATCTTCGCAGGGAGAGTTTGGATTTTCCTATTGTAGAACTGGGCTTTCCACTCCCCTGCTAGCAGCAGTGAAGGGGAGCTGGCTTGTTAAATCCAGCAGGTGGTCTGCTGCTTCTAACTCACAATGGTAGGGGTGGCATTGAGTAGCCCAACCATCAGTAGGTCGTTTAAAGTTTTAGCAAAGATTTGTAGCTCGGGTTGTGGGTGAGGTTGTTGACTTGCTCACCGAGCTGGCTTGTTTTCATTCAGACGTTTCGTCACCATGCTAGGTAACACCGTCAGTGAGGCCTCTGATGGAGCGATGTTATTCTACTTCGCTTGGAGTTTATACTGTCCGGTCCGTTATGGTGAGTAGTGTCATTTCCAGTTTTGATCTGTATGGGTTTTATATGGGGTTCAATTCTATATGTTTGTTGATTGCATTATAGGTTGAGAACCCATGCCTCTAGGAATTCCCGTGCGTGTCTGTGTTTGGCTTGGGCTACTATGGTTATGTTGCCCCAGTTAAATGATGGCCTTCATCGTCCGAGTGTACTGATATTAAGGAAAGTTCGTCATGTCGTTTTGCTGCTAGCTGATGTTCATGTATTCTGATGGCTAGTTTTCTTCCTATCTGTTACAAAATACCACGCAACGACTGCTACAAACATTACATCGGACAGACAGGAAGGAAACTAGCCATCAGAATACACAAACATCAGCTAGCAGCAAAACAGCACGACGAACTTTCCTTGATATCAGTACACTCGGACGATGAAGGCCTTCAGTTTAACTGGGACAACATAACCATAGTAGCCCAAGCCAAACACAGACACGCACGGGAATTCCTAGAGGCATGGGTTCTCAACCTATAATGCAATCAACAAACATATAGAATTGAATCCCATATAAAACCCATACAGATCAAAACTGGAAATGATACTACTCACCATAACAGACCGGACAGTATAAATTCCAAGCGGAGTAGAACAACATTGTTCCATCGAAGGCCTCACCGATGATGTTAGCTAGCATAGTGACGAAACGTCTGAACAAAAACAAGCCAGCTCGGCAAGCAAGTCAACAACCTCATCAGTAGGTCAATTGAGGCCTTTTACATAGGAAATTAATTCCCACATAGTGCCTCATGCTTCTACCACCAGAATTTAACCAACAGGCAAGAGATGACTACACCAAGTGGCCAGCATAGCAGATTTCCCTATACATGGCAAGTGTTTGAGGCAGGGAATTTACTTCATATTATACCTCCAGATCCCATTGCAGTCCTCCCAAGGCTTCAATGGCACCAAGACAACACCCCCTGTTGCCCACCACCACCAACACCAGCTTTGCAACCAGTGGAACCCCTAAACATTGACTCTAATTCCGATTCAATGCTGCATACTACTGTTTCAAAGTATTGGAGTACTGGAGTGCTTCTGGCCTCTGATTGGACCCAAGGGAGGACTTCACAACTCTGATAAGTGTAAAATCCTGCTTTCCATCTGGTAATCAGCTATTATTGGCTCCAGGCACTTCGTATAATTCAGTCAATTGAGTATAACGTTCGTCCTTGTAGATTGGATGGGATCTCAGATTTCCTCTATCGGTGAAGAAACAGAGTCAGGCTTTGTGACTGACTCTACAATTCTCAATCCCATTCCTATTGTGTGAATTTTTAGGGCAAGAGATAAGGGTGTGGGTGGCAAGCCCACACACTACACTCCCATCCTTGCTTATTACACTGTAAGGGTCTCTATTTTAGACATCTGCTATATTGTGGAATAAGCTTTATTTTGGTAAGCACTGTGGTTCACGACACCTCAAAGGAGTCAGGAACAATGGGAAACCCTAATCTGGAGTTGGAAACCTTGTGACAGGTAAGTTTGAAACTTCACATGGCATAATGTAATGGTGTATCATAAGTTACATATATTTTTAATGCAATGAGCTTTGTAGAAAGTAAGTGACCAGCATTGTGAAAGTGTTCAGTTGTATTAGAGTTCAACAATATAGAGGCTCCAATTTAAACGTGTTAATTTTCCCCTATAAGTTGGTCTGCTCTTAGATTCACATTTGAACCATCTTTTGAGCCTTCAAAATAGATATAAATATGGCTGATTTCTTTGTCAGCCCAGCTAACTGTTGAGCCTTTGATGCAGGAATAGATGGGCACCTGTTCAAGCTATTTAAAAGAATTCACTGTACTTAGCTCTGGAAGTTTTGTTTATACAGCTATGCAATTGAGTCCTATTGTGAATGTCCAGTTGCATCCCAAAACTCATTAATGGATTCATTCCAATTTCCATTGACATCTTGGGTCTCTAATCTCCTTCACTGTCTGACCATCACCTGAGCTCTCCTGTTCATTGCTGTTACCATTTATCAACAGTATACCAATCCATCATATTTACACCTCTCTTAGGTTCCAAAGAAGAACCATACTGGACCAGAAATCTTAATTTTGTTTATCTCTGTACAGATACTGCCAGACCTGTTCTGCTATTCCACACTCATGTTCAGCCAACTGAATTTCTACTCACTTTCTGTCAATATTCTACTCATTGTCACCTTCTGACCTTCAGCTTGACTCGGCTTTTCATGGATTTTGTCTTCATACTTTGTACATCTTTTGCTATGTGACCTTGGTTGTTTGGAATACTACACCTGTCTGGCATCAGGTTGGACTTCTCATGATCTTGAACCATTTGTTCCAGCCTTTGCTTTCTGCATTGGTGCTCCCAATGTCCTCTGGTGTCACTCGCCTTTCATACAGTGTTTAAAGCTGGGCAACCTTTGTTTAAGTCCATATTGCTTATTAGGCTTGCCTCCATTAGCTATCATGTCAATGGTGGACAGATTACCTGTAGCCTGTAGACTTTGTCTACCCATTAGTATTGCTTCTTACTTGCTGTCGCCTTGAGTATTTCCACGATGTAACCTTTGGATTCATCAAAGGTTGTCTTTTTGCAATGCTTCCTTTGGGATGGATACTATCACAATTTTAAATATTCTGTTGATTAGCTCAGCTGCTGTTAAGTTGCAATCTCATCATTGGTCTCTGGATCTACTTATGAATTGACCAACCGTCTCTGGTGGTAGTTGCCTAAAGGACGTGGACATGATGTATTCTGAAGTTCAGCTTCATTCATAATTAATCATCGAGTATTGACCGTTTCTTTCCCCAGATTTTTAAAATGGTAATTGGATAGATCTGACATGTTTAGTCTGTAGAGGTTTTCATTGCATGCAGCAATTTTAATGGCTTGCTTACCTGGTCTGGAAATATTGAGACACAGAAGCATAGCTTGACATATCATTGGGACAAAGTAAATCAGATAGGGCATCTTTTACTTTCCAATTGAAAGTTGGAAATTTTTGGTCACCTTTCAGTTTTTTAACTAAAGGATTTTTAATGCTTTTAACTGTTGTAAGTTTGTCCCATCTCTTTTAGAGTTGGTTTGACTCTGAATCACAGCACTTTTAGTGGCTGCTGCCTTAGCTGGACAAAGATTAATGCTTGATTGCAAGGTTGCTGCTAAGTGTGTTTGAATTTTTAGCATTTGAACGCTAAACTTCACTCTAAGATGATTCGGGGCAGAAAAATGGCCACAGGACTTTAAAGTGAAATCAAAAAGTCTTTTTTCAGGGACTGAGTAGTAGTTTCTTCTTCCCAGCGCAGTCTACAGTTTAGCAGTCATGAATTTTCCTGTCG